AAGTCCGCAGACATGCCGCTGTGCCATTGGGTGAGCTTAAGGCAGAGAAAAGTCCGTGCGTAATTCTAGATATTAATTTACCTACGTTATGAATCTTAAAGAACAAAAACAGGTCTTGTTAAAATATTGTGTTATATTGAAGTAACACCTTGTCTATATTATACATTTTTTTTAATTGTGTATTAATAATAATAATAATAATAGTGGTTCGTGTCGGTAAATCATAAATCCATTAATTAACTGAACGTGTTGATCAAGAGGTCTTCACAGGTTTTCTACATTATCAGTGGTGTTTACCTTGCTAAAACTTACCTTATAGTCTTTGTGATTCTGAATCGGTTCATTAAAGCGACCTCTAGTAGAAAATGTCGAGTACTGAATATTAAAATGATGACTTATTTTTCTTTCCGTGAATGTTTTATTAAAAAATTCACAAAACAGCATCTGCCATCAGAAGAGCTTCGTTCGAGTCTTTGAACCTAATAACGGGATTGACTGTCACTTATATAACGTCCCCCACTTCTGAAAGTGCACAAAACACGGAACCTCGGATTAACAGTCCGGCACACTAACTTCTAAGCCACGCTCGGCCCTGTAATACAATTTTCCCCAAAGGTATTTCGTGCTATGTTTGGTATCCAGAGTCTGGTTAAGAGTTATTGGAGCTCAGCCCTCTCTTCATTCAAACATCATCAATGGAAATCAAAATACGTTGTTTTTTTTTATCTCGTACGACTCACGCATGTCAATTGTCTTTTGATGAGATTATTTAGTTATTTAAAGATAACAATGTTGGTGTTCCAATAATATAACGTCAAACACTCGCGTGTTATCGTTTGCTGACGTCAGAACGAGACGATGGTTGTGTGTGTAATAAAGTTAAGTACCTTCTCCAGTAATGTAATAAATTCTACAATAGAATCAACGATACGAAAAGAGTGACTGTAAAATTACAATAGTAATTTTTTTAGGCATGTTCACAAAAGGCGGTGGATTGTACGATTGTCTTTCATTGAATTTGTTCTAGAACGCTCTGATTTGTAGTGTCTCGAATTAAAAAAAAAAGAAGCCCCCCAGTGACACAGCGGGATGTCTGCGAACTTCTAACGCTACAAACCGGGTTTCGATACCTGTGGTGGGCAGAGCACAGATAGTCCATTGTGTAGCTTTGTGCTAAGCTACCAACAAATTTAAAAAATGAATATATCACCGAATGTGCCATTTTATTATAGACTTTTTAAAAAATATGAGGAAATTACAAAAAAAAAACACTTCTGTACATTGGAAGACGATTCTCTAAGGAGAACCGACACGATCTGTGTCCAAAAGTCAGTATCATTTTGTTTCCTCACGGCTTATAACGCTAAGAACTGGGTTTCCATACCCGTGGTGGGCATAGTACAGATAGCCCATTTTATAGCTTTGTGCTTAAGAACAAACAAATCAATGGTTGGCTCCCCATAGATGACAAAAACTTTCATTTTTTTGATGTATTTCAATGAGATACTAACCCTAATATTAACTTTTGGTCATTGATCTTGCCGGGTCTCCTCCAAAATGTTATGGACTTATTAAGATGAATACTACAGTTCTGAATAAGAAGTCATTATAAGATTTCTTTGTATAGCTATGAAACGTAAAACTCTTATTGATGAATGAATGTTACGTAGTGTCCTGAACGTGATGACGTGTATATTTTGTTCTTTTTTTTTGGCCTCCTCCTTAAAATTCATTATTTCAATATATATATATATAAAAAAATAACCTACTAATTTAGCTCCCCCCCCCCTTCCCTCGAGTCTTAACTCTGACGTCCCTGTAACCATTTAGGAATAAGTAGCTTAGTTCTGCACATTTCAGGTCTTATGTCTTTCTTTTGACATTATTCAATAGTGGGTGAGATTTGTTTCCAATTCTGTTTCTTTATTTATTCGTTTCTGGATTAACAGTTCCCATGGAAACAACCTACAAACCCACTTACCGATTTAAGGCGAGCCCAAAGCTCGTGTGTCACTCGAGATCGTGAGCGACGACAGCGTTTTCAGACGATTCCAACACCTTTCTGTACACCACACACGTGCACCGGAACAGGTGCGGCATACCGGGCAACAGACGGACCAACGTTTTGTCACAGTAACTGTAGGGCTTTTTAAACTTTAACTTGCACTTCCAAAATTGTTTCTGGGTAAATAGATAGACTTATAGTAGTATGTACGAGTCAGTATAAGAATATATAATAAAATACACGTGTAATATGTAAGTGTACGTGCTTATAGCTGTGGTGAGTAAGTGTACGTGCTTATAGCTGTGGTGAGTAAGTGTACGTGCTTATAGCTGTGGTGAGTAAGTGTACGTGCTTATAGCTGTGGTGAGTAAGTGTACTTGCTTATAGCTGTGGTGAGTAAGTGTACTTGCTTATAGCTGTGGTGAGTAAGTGTACGTGCTTATAGCTGTGGTGAGTATAAGTGTCAGTGAAAACCATTTTTTGTGATTCACAAAGAATCATTAATACTTTCAATAAATTATAGTAAAATTAGCACATAATTCAATCTCAGAGCACCTACTTTTCCAAATTTTCTTGGGGACCTGCCCCCCCCCTCACACAGCACTGGCATACTTTACACACTATTCTGAGTTGCCTGATCAATTAAAAAAATGCCTCCTCCACCCATGTCGTTTACTGTACTCATTTAGAGCGATATTCCACATTCGGGAAAAACAAAAATCCATAAAAGTACACTATAAACGAAAAAGAAAGCCACCATTATTGTGTTGTTGTTTTTTTACACTACTTATATACCCTAAAACATGCCCCCTCTCAGTGGCAGAGCGATATGTCTACGAACTTACAACGCTAGAAACCGGGTTTCGATACCCGTGGTGAGCAGAGCACAGAGAGCCCATTCTTTTGCTTTGTGCTTAATATCAAACAAACAAACGCTAAAACACTGTATTGTTTCGGATATACTAGCTGTAGAAAACAAGGTACTACTTATTCCATTATTCTGAAGTCTCACCAAATACTCTCATAATAACTATTATATAAAAGACTGACTAACTTTGTTTACTAGTGCCAGGTGTTAAAGTGGATGAACAAGTCCCGGATGTTTGAGAACATTGACGTCATCATCGATATTTCTGTCACAAAATGAAATCAAAACAAACCACGCGGAGAAACTGTCGTCGTAGGGAACCACATCGTGGCAGATTGTGCATTAGTGAACCCCCCCCCTACACAATGGTTCAACGGTAAGTTTGGTGGCTTATAACGCTAAAATTCCCTGTTAAATCCCCGCGGTGACCACAGCACAAACGATCCATTCATTGTTTAACTTTGTGTCGAAACAAAAAACAAAGTTTACACTGGTGCACCCCTCTTTCCCCTCCTCCTCCTCAGTGTCAAGCTTGAGGGTTTATAACGCCAAGAAAACTCCCGGTTGCATCTCTGCGATGGGCACAACACAGATGGCCCGTTGTGCAGGTTTATGCCTGAACAAAAAAAAAACAAATTGTACACCGTATATATATGTATATATACTTGAAACATTCTAGCATTACAATTATTTATGGATTTGATTGTATATGTATGTTAAAGATTTCGTTTTTCACCAAAGTGAAACTGAAAAGAGAATCTGTGACGTAGAGGCTTAATGCATTCTTTGATTGGGCGTACCCTCCACTGTTGACTGGAGTTTCATCGGCAAAGCTTGGGTCAGAAAAAAACAAAGAAATGCAGTTAGGCTTTTAATAGTAACGGAGTACCCGGATGTAAATGTCTTTAACTGATTTAGGTCTTTATTTAAATGCTAATTTATTGATCTACTGTATAGCTTCTCTGTCCTGCTGTCAAGAGCAAAGTAGGAGAAGACTGTCCTGTTCGCCAAAAAATGTCCTCTGAGGCCGCGGCCACACGGCCTATGTTACGTCCTGTACAAAGTTGTATCCGTACCCCGAGTTTGGAGTTTGTAGCTTTAA